CTGAATTACTTTGATGTAAAACTGTAGCAAGACCCAAAGTTGACGTTAACAATTTCATTTTAGTCACTTCACTCATTTATCTATACCAACTAAAGGTCTTGCTTGTAGTATCCTTGCTGTGGAATACAGACAATAACATAACCTAATTTATGTCGATAGCCACAAACAGTAAAAATAAAGTGAATAAATAGGATTTAAGAGTTTTAAAAAACATTTACTTTTCCCTGAATCTCCAGTGTGTGATTTTTTTCACTGTTGAAGTTGCATCACCTTTACTTTGTTAACTAAAGACAATTTTATACGCCACAGCTGTGTGGCAAATAGAGATTGCTAAGATATGTAAAAGCCAGACTCTGTATAGTTTAAAGCAAATACTGACCAGAAGTACATGAATTGTATTTGTAGATTGCACAGATTCTCCGCAACATTGGTGTGAACATTTCAGATGAAAGGTTTGAAGAGATATGGAAGCAAGCCTGTATGAAACATCAGAAAGAAGAGGTTTGTGTAGAATGCATCAAGAATGTACTGGATGAGATACATGGATCACACACAAAAAACAGTTGCTAATTCTGGTCGTTGAGGGTTGCATTTATTTAAATTATGACATCAGTCATAATCCTGATGCTGAATAGAATAAACATTTTCAATAACATCTGTTTACAGAACTGAAATTCACTGTTTATTGTCTTTCTGAATAGTGGTTTCACTACAAATATATGTATCACATATGTGAGTCTTACTGCTGTGACTGCATTTAGTAGGAACTGATAACCATAGGAATAAAAGAGAATACAGCATGTTTATAAATGCAAGTATTTATCTTATATTCTTTATCTTAACTTTTTTACAGTGTTTCTAAGACTAAATAGTAATACTTTGAGCATGGACACATTTTACATTTTTGATTTTTTCTTTTCTCTTCTAAACAGAAGGACATTTTTGAAAGTACTTAAGATAAACGTTTCAGATATGCAAGACCTCTTAAAGATTATTGTCATAGAGTGGCATCTTGCCTTTCTTCTAATGTTCCAGAACAGAGATCTGATTGTGGTAAGTTATTTTGACATGTTAAAAAAATTTCTGTGAGAAAGTGCTTTCTTTACATTAAGGTACTAAGGAAACTGCATAGTCATGGCTGTGGAACCTAAAGTGTTGTCCTGAAATAGACTCAGTAAGAAGCAATGAATTAAGACAAGCATAAAAACACAGACTAGGTAGTCAGAAAAGTTTGGGAGGGCTTTCAGAGGGCTAACTGTTCATCTGTGACCAAAGCAATTTCTTGTGCAGAAGGACCTTCATAAATGAAAAACACTTGAGGATCATTATGGAAATCTCAATGAATATATATGAAGTCCAATAAGAATAAACAATAGAAAGCAATTAATACTAAAATCTGCAACAGTGAATTGGAATGTTTGCTCTTCACCTACAGTACTGAGCTAGCTATAAAAAAAATGGAAATTGTTCAGTATTAACAGTGAGAATTATTACTTTTAGACTTTTTTCAAGTTACTCAATGTAATCTTAACATACAGGATTTCAGGAAGGGTATCACTTTGTCACGTATTGGTGCTTTAAATACGTTAGTACGATTTGAAGGATGTTTCACTGAGTTCTACAATGTACAAGGTTCTATATGTCTTAAATACTAGGAATGCATGTGTAATGCCATTTTAAAATTTCACTGTAATGCTTTACTGATGTGATTAAGATTCTTCCTTTGCCAGTGTTCTAGGAGCTTCTCATTTACTAGCTCATTACACGAGATCCACAAGCCAGATCTTTTTGGACATTATTACTGTGGCATTGATAGTAGCTGTCTTACATCAAGTAGAAAGAATTTGCCTTCTGGTATCTCCAGGGAGCAGGTGGTGGAGCTGCTGCTTGATGAAGGCAGCTTCTTTCCCACTGTGAATGAAAGTTATTCTGTGCTGTTTTTTCCCTTGCTTTGCCGTCCTTCTGAAACTCTGTGTATGCACTGGGAAGCATGGAGACTGTGACTGTCCCAAGTGAAATCATGAGAGAAAGAGGAATGTACTGCTAATTTCAATTGAATTTATTATGTCAGGGTTTCACTACCTCCAGTGAAATTATCTAATGGTTCTCTTCTGCTCATATAAGGTGGGAGGGAAGAATCTTTTATCTTTGTTGTGGTGCGCTTCCAAAAGCATCAGACAGAATTACTTTAAAAAACAATACTGTTTTTTTCCTTCAACAACAATTTTTAGATGAAAGATTCAATCTCATTTCAGGGAAAAATGAAAGAAAAAAAATTACCAGATGTGTGTGTGTGTTTGTGTGTGTGTGTGTGTGTGTGTGTGTGTGTACTTGAGATCTGTTCTGTTCGTTCAGTAGATGGAAATTCTGTGTACCCTATTTTTTGAATCTACTGTATAGACACCCACTTTCATTCCTCTACTTTCAGTAGAATTTTTTCCTTTGTCAGTGAAATGGAATTAACATTGTTTTGGTCTGCTAAATAAGTTGAGAATAAATAAGACTGATAAATTGTGGTTTAGTTTTTTGCCAGTATGTTTCTAACCGCAGACTAATAGTTTCCTTTTGAGCTTGGGTTTGAAATGAACTGGAAGTAGTGTTCACCTAAACTTACCTCATCTGAAGCTTTGAAGGATTAATCATTGAACTACTTGTAGATGCTTGTTTTTCATCACAATATACATAGGAGAAACTGAAAGATTTAATCGCTTTTGACACAGACAGTTACTTCTGCAGAGCTTTCCAATCCTTTTGTTTCCTTTTGTTAAATGCTTTATGCACACACAGTCTTGATGCAGATTTTTGTGTTTAACTTCTGTTTAACATCCCAACAAGTGTGAATTCAATGACATATTTATAGGCTTTAGAGCTGCAAGATTTGTTCTATGATTTTTTTACGGTTTATAGAGCTGATTTAATCAGTGCAGCACACTACCTTTCACTAACCTGTGAGCCGTATCCAAGGCAAAGTTTTCCAGAAAAGGTTAGCAAAACAACCTTCACTATGAGGAAGTTCTTTACTGAGAGGGTCGTCAGAAGCTGGCACAGGCTGCCCAGGGAGGTGGTGGAGTCACCATCCCTGGCTGTATTTAAAGAGCGGGTAGATGAGGTACTGAAGGATGTGGTTTAGGGGGTAGACAGGAACGGTTGGACATGATGATCTCAGAGTTCTTTTCCAACCGAGCGATTCTGTGATTCTGTGACTCTAAAGCCATATGCTCTAAGACCAAACTTACAAATTTAGCGCTTAAGTGAATTTATTCTGCTAAGTTATATTACAAAATCACGCAGATTGTAAATACATTGACTGAAACTTTGTGGACAAAACCAGCAAATGGCTAATCCTGACAAAGGTAAATATTTTGGTAATGCAAACAAAAATGGCAAAACCAAGACCTAATCTGAAAAAAAGAGAAGGTCCTGAGCATCACTGAACAAACGACTGAAATAAGAGCAGAAGGGTTTTTAAATGGTACCAGTTAATCATGGCGGGATTTTGTTTTTCTAGCAGTTTTCAGCAGATTATTATTATATTATAGAGACATATACAATTCCGTATGAATACTTTACTAAAAGTGTCCCCCCCATGAGCAACAAGGTTGGATACATAACAAAAGCACTATTTTTTGCTAGTGAGCAATGCATATAACATAAGAATGTAAAGCGTGTCTGTACAGGGCAGCACAAACGTTCTGTCTAGGCCAGTGTTCCATCTGACAGTGGTCAAAAACATGCTTAGGGTGAAGCAGCAGATTAGGCCAAATATTATGGTGATTCTTCCTAGTGGTCTCTCAGTGCTTCAACCACTTAAGCTTTAAGTGGTTGAAAGGAAGGAGGGACCTTTCTGAAAAGCATGTTTTCCTTATGTTCAGTGATCTTAAACAGATTTATCTTCATGGAGTTACCCAGTCTGCCCTTAAAACTTTGTGTTACTCTAGCCTCTGCAATGTCTTTTGAGAAGGAGTTCCATAACTTCAGCAATACACAACTGAAAAACTAGCTCCTTTGCTTGCTTTAAACCTTCGCTCTGATGGCTTAATATGATGTAAGATAATTACTCTATTTGAAGAAACAACAAATCAATTTCTAGACACTATCAGTGGCACAGACATAGACCTTTGTCGCAACCCTCCTAAATCCTGGGCCAGGGGCATTTTGTCTAGCTATTGCCTGTATAGAAATTATTCCAAAGTGTTCTTTTGGCATGTTACTGCTCTCTTAAGTTTTTCTCATTCTGCAGCACATTTTCTGAGATACAGTGGACATGAATTTAAAAGCGGCAGACAGGAACTTTCTCTGTGCTCTCAGTTTATTTCCCTTAATAACAGTATGTGGATTGATTACTGTATTTCAAACAGGGAGGCAGGGGCAGTTTCCAAGATGTTTTGCCCAATTACAAGGCAGCTAGCACTGACTGAGTCAGGAAAGGCGCTACTGAGTGCAGAAACCTTGTGATACATAGTTGTATGCTTAATTTTACCATAGTTCATCATGACCTGCTTTGCTCTTAAAAATTCACTGAGCCAAGTAGATTTGTTTCCAGTTTGCATGTTGTGAGAACAGAATTTGGGTTAGTTTATACACCTGGACAGTGTATGTGCGTTCTTTCATAAATGCTTTGAAGGTATTTGATGGAAGATGAAGCCTAAGATTAAACTGGTTTTGCTTTAATGAATACTTTGTTTCAATGCCACCATGGTACATATAGCAAGGTAGATTATTAAGCTGCTAGTAAGAGATGTTTGTTTTACTAAGACGTAATTCTTCCTCTGCATAAATTCAGCGAAGAGATCTAGTTACCTTTTATATCTATAATAGGCCTAGATTAGTGCACAAGCTTGTACTAACTCTGAAAATAAAGATCAGATTCAGTCTGTTAGCTTTCTTAAATGCCAGGTCTCTTGATCTAGGGCCAAAGCTAATGCTATCTGCCAGTGTTCTTTTTGTTGTTCAGTTGCACTGGGGCTGTAGAATAATGCTATCCCTGTACTTAATGGTCTTCTTATTCCAATGGTTTTATATGGGTAACAAAACAGCACTCGTACAATGATTCACTCAAAGTACAGTACCACTGAAAGCCGAATGTGAATGGATTCCAGACTTGGATTAAGCATCTCAAAGTCCTTATTTGCACCCTCTTTAGAATGGAAAGCAGGACAGAGAATTTCTAAGGAAAAAGCAAGATAATGATTAATTACCTCATTTGAATTGGACTTAAATTACTGTTAAAATAGTAACGTGATGCATAGAGCTTTTTTGGGTTTTGAAGTCTACTTTTGTACTTATTCTACAGGCAGGGAAACAAAGACTCATATTGCCATTTTTTAGGACGAGTGTTAAACGCGTTTGTAGCTATGCAACCATCTACTGAAGACAGTAGGCAACTGTCCCTGCATACATGGAGGCACATAATTGTCTGTCACAGACCTGGTTTTCTTTTCAAATTTAATCACACAGGTGGTTAAGTAAACCAGTTAACCCTTGTTAAACCATCATTAATGTTTAATACATGTTTAAGATAGTCCACAGTTCACCTCTAGAGTTGCTTTGAGACAAACCGTAATACCAGT